CACGCAATGTGATTTCTGCCCAGTGCTATGATACCATGATAGAAATAATAGAAGATAAGAATAATAATTGAAGAAGCTTTATTGTAGAAATGAAATAGCTTTAGCTTGAATCTATTAACATGTTCCCTCTTATTTATACAGATTAGGAGGAAGGATTTCCCACAACAGAATAAACAGAATAGAGAGATTTCTTATCCTCTATCAAGTTAGGGAAATCTTATCTTCTATCATGTTGGGGAAATCTTATCTTCTATCAGTATCATCAGTCCAAGCAGTTCTCAGATCAGCAAAGATTCATCCTCTCCATATTCTCACAAGGAAATAGTAACGTATAGTCTCTCTCAATCATATTTCTATGCATATGAAATATCTAATTTCTCTATTCCTATGTGATAGCAGCTTTGAACGCGAATTTCTATAGAAAAGAAACGAAAAATGTATATTACAATCAAATCCTGTATTTCTCTATACGAATAACTGAAGCAGCTGATGATAAGAACCACTCGTATGGGCTACAATCCGATCATCATCGGAGACGTCAATCTGTAGACCAGCCATGCTCGATTCCTTCTTCTGATGAGTCTGTTTCGAGTACTCCTCGGCCGTGGGCTTATGGCGGCGCATGTGGCCGCCCAAAGCTTGCCCCATCGCGAACTCCATGCCACAGATGAAGCACCGATGCACGCTGCGTTTGGAGGCGGAACGATCGGTTCTCGGGCGCTTGTGGCTCGTCCGGTGGCCGCCGAGCGCTTGGAAAGTCGGGAATTGGCGACTGCACGTCTTGCACTCGAAGACACCGACCGCCGCCCTCGGCTCACTGTGGGTCTTCGCCGTCGTCGCCACGCAGGAGAGCGACAGCAGCAGCTCTGCATCGTCTTCGTCGGCTCTTGGACTCTTCATGTATTGGGATGGGGATGATAGAGCTTTGCACCCAAACATGTATTGTATCCACCTCCCGAGATATATATGTATATATAGACACACACGCACACATTCTCCGCCGTGCATTTGGTCTAGGCTTCAGATCGCGACAGCTGGGAAGGTTCCAAAGACTTGCTGCTCCACTGTTGTCATGGAGCAAGCAGATTGCAGTGAGAACTGCGCATGGGATAGCTTCGCAGTGAAGGAAGGAAGGCTGCGGAGGTGTTGCTTTTGTTACCGGCTTACTTGGTTTACAAGTGAGGAGGGTTGACTCGGTACTCGCCTTCAAAGTGAGGCTAAGAACGAGAGGAGATATGCCGACATGGACATTGAAATATCGACCACAGCATTACCCAATGTCGAGAAGATAGAGGAAGAGATCACCGCAAGACGACCATATTGTTTGCTTGATTTGGTACAGCTGATTTGGCCGTCTTATCTACCCATGCGTCATATGTCATCCTGCATCATCGTCCTCGTCGACCAATACTTTTATCTTGCTGTCCGGATTGTGACTTGTGACTAGAATTGGAGGTGAAAATATTTCTTCATATCTTGCTCCTATCCCAAAACCTATAAATAAGAATAACTAGACACTAATTTCTAAGATTTATCTTCACATGAAGTCCTTTTCTATGACATCAGATACCAAGTTTCTTCCCGTACATATTTTCAGAGTTCATATGATACATATGTGACAGGAGCTTAATTAGGACCGATAAATTTCATGATTTCATGTTAGAAATTTTAATATCAAAATATGTTTTTAAATTATTATAATAAAAATAAAAAAACTAACATGAAAAAGAAATTATGTACTTTTAGCCATTGTCAAGAATTTCAACAACGATTTCTTCTTGAATTTTAACACTTCTCGATTCAGAACTCTCGCTTTAGATGATATAAAAAATCATTTAGACTTGAAAGAGATTATAAGCCCAGAGACCAAAACTCACATTTATAGATGTTCTCCCATCAAGAATATTTATTATCATCAACTCCGTTAAAGAATCAATTCAAATTTGTAATGTTTGAACCATATTTAAAAAATTTAATGATATTAAATAAAATATTTAATAATAATAGTTATATATAGATTGAAAAATCAAAATATTTGAACTATAATAAATGAAGAAATTGATTATAATGAATGATGAACTTAACGAGAATGATTACATTATTATTAAATAAAATATTTAATAATAATGATTACATCGCATGCTACAAGGCTGTTCACAGTGTTCTCCCAATTAAGTAATGTTGTTACGTTACATTACTTAATTAAACCCATAAAACTACAACTAAAGTTCATGCACTGTATTTTTTTTTGTCATCTATTTGAGCAGCTGTGAGATGTGTTGCATGCAGCGGTTGGTATCTAACATTAGATCAACTCTCTTCGGTCTTTCCGTATGCCAAGTCAATGGACCCGAATGAAGTCAACGGAAAAATTCTCCTGACACTCGCTGTGTCGTAGAGCAAATGGGAACCGATCATACTTCTCCACCAACCACTCAATCTAGAACAATTGACAAATCCCCCAAGTCACACAATTCCACCATTGAAATATTCTCTTCACAACCTTTTTCCCACACTGTTTGTCGTTGGTGAACAAATATACCGTGGTAGGTTGGGCCCTCTCGATGGGGTGTTGATCGACGTTCCTCGGTCCGGGGCATCATTTGTGTTGAGCAACGTCTCTCCATCTCCAGGTTAGTCAGTAGCTCGCCTTCGTACACTGGATGACAATTCCCAGGTTGAGACGCTCGCGGCTCGATGGTGGTCGCTTTCCTACAAAAATTACCTTTGTCGGGTGTTTCCTGACTTTATACCCTCCGACGAGCAAGTCAGTAGTTGTTTCTCTTCTTTTTCCTCCCCCTCTGGCCGGATGTCGACCAGAGATTTTTATACTACTGTACGTGGGTCGGCCGTATGCGGGTTTGGCATGACGATCGATCCTCGAGGGATGAGATGATACTTTTGTGTGGTCGTCGTTCCGGGACACGCGGAACGACGTCAGACGGCGCCGTCCAGAGCTTCCGGGACGGGACATGCCAAACAACGCCTTGGTACGGGTTCTGACTTGACGCATGAGGGTGCTCCCCTTGCTGATTCAGCTGTAGCGTGATGTGACATCGATTGTGACGTGTTTTGAACCCAAAATATACATTATCACTTCCAAGCCGCAAACTCATCTCGCAGCATAACAAATCCTAGAAAACAGCTTCGAGGAACTTCCACCATCTACGATGGACTGAATCTTCCGACTCTCAAAACTTACTCAAACTTCTTCCCCCGAGTCAAACAACAACTTGAAAGATCTGCGCATGTTCATGACCATAACCTAATCGAAGAGAGTCCATCTCGTGCCAAAGATGATAAGATGAATCAGATTAAATCCCTGCCGCTCGGGCTTACATCCCCATCTCTTTCGCTTCTGCCGCTGACTCGCTCTCGGTTGTTTTGCTGTGATTTGTCATACCTCGTTAACGATATGTCATCTCACTTTACCATTGGCGCGGTTCTAGAACAGGAAGACCGGCATTTTCCATCTTACAGCTAGCCAAGATTTGCGTGTCCACCAGGTTATCCCAAGTCCAGCTTGTTTTTATCCATTCCTGTCATCAGACGTCGTCTGCCTTTAAACACGTATCTATATAGGTATCTTTTGTGTCGTTCATTGCATCATCACCTCCTACACTCCCCAACAGCTTCATACTTCCTTTTATCTTTGAGGAAACAGCTTCGTTTGTTGCACACCATAAGACATGAAGAGATACATAATCGGAGGAGAGATAGACGGCGTTAGGATGGCCCATGTTTTAATGCTTCTCTCTCGAGGAGGAGGAGGTGGTGGTGGCGGCGGAGTAGACGAGAGTGGTCGCTTGGCGCAGTCGGCGTCGTCGTCGTCGTCAGGAGGTCGGATGTTCGAGTGCAAAACCTGCAACCGGCAGTTCTCTTCCTTCCAAGCGCTCGGTGGCCACCGAGCGAGCCACAAGAAATCTAGGCTGGCTGCCGGTGATCACGGCCGAGCGGAAGCCGTGGCTGATAAGCCGAAGGTCCATCAGTGTTCCATCTGCGGGCAGGAGTTCGCCCTCGGGCAGGCTTTAGGAGGCCATATGAGGCGGCACAGGACCACGACCGAAGGATTCGTGCATAGCCTCGCAGAGAAGAAGACCGGCGACGACCGGGGAGGGATGTTTCTGGACTTGAACTTGCCGCCTCTAGAGAATGAACTCAAGCTTGGAGATTGTGGATGATATTCGCATGTTCCTTCGACTTCTTCTGCATGCATGTTGGTGCTCTTTCCATTTTGGACGTTGCATCACATGTCACAACATGCATGCATGTTCATGTTCTTTATCGAGGACTTCGTCGTCTCCTCCTCCCTTCTTCTTTCCATGTTGTACGTTGCATCACATGTCACAACAAGCCCTTTGTTGAGGACCTTCCCATTGGTTGCCACCGTTGGTAGACCGGCTTAGTTTTATGTTTATACCTTTTTGCACAGGAATCGTTGTCTGCTCTAACAAATGCTTTTTTTAATTTCTTTTTCTCTTTTTGAGGGGAATATTTTTTATGAGAAAGAAAATTACTGTCTTCTCAATGTTAGCCAACAACTCGATTTCTTGTACGGCAAATTCTCGAGAAAAGCTTATACTTTTCAAAATTTTATGCAAAACATTCTTACTCTAAAAAATTTGTAAACAGTGCTTTTTTTTTTTTTGGTCATTTAGTCTTGCCATCGCTCTCCACCCATTGCTTAGTCAAAGTTACTTGAGTAGGAGAGGAAGGAGGAGGGGAGTGCACACCTTTGTCGTCATCACCTTATGTGATAGTCACGGGCAAGACATGAAATGGCTAAGTTGATCGAGTCAGCGGAGCCAACCCTCATAGGCTACGAGTGACAACGAGTCTAGCGAAAGAAGAGGCAAAATAATCTTTTCATATGACTAGGAGTGTTGTTTCCAAAATTTTCAAAGTATGAGAGTTTTGCAAAAAAAAAATAAAAATAAAAGCTTTTTTCGAGAATTCAGTTGTCTTTCTTTATTTTGTTTCTAACAATAATAATAATAAATAATCAAAAATTTCCTTCTTTGTACGAGCAATTATGTACAACTTAAAATTCCTACTCAATTAATTGATGGAAAATTCTAAAAAAATGCTCGTAACTTTGAGAGTTTTGTTTTAAAGTGCCCCATCTTTGAAAATTCCCATAGAGCATCCCTGGCTATGTGAAAAGATTATTTTACCTCTATCTTCATCAAACCTATCGTAGCTTATGCTAATCCCATCGGCCTCGCTCGTGACCCTTGTGTGAGGAAGGAGGGGGTGCAAGAGTCGTCGCTACCTTCACAGGTCTTATTGGTCTCCATCAAAATTGTCATCGCCTTCGCATGCATAAACCTAGGTTTAATCAGGGTTGATAGGGTTTGTATAGGTGGAGGCGACCCTTATCCTCATGCTAGACTATAAACAAGCATGATGAGGATTGTGCAAAGTAGGGGCGATAAAAGTATAGTAAGTGTTAGGAGCAAAATGATCATTTATGAAAAAAATAAGTGTTCTATGAAAAAATCTCAAAGTTACGAACTTTTTTAAAAACTTACCCTTAATTGATAACAATAGAATATTATTCAATTAAATATAATAAAGATATAATTTTAAGATGAAAAGTGCAATGTGAGTGGATTTCTTTAAGCATGTGCTTGAAAAAAAAACTTGGTATCATCTCTTCTCTATGCGAAGGGACTTACACTTATTCAAATGTGCACCTCATTTTAATTCATTTATGAATAATTTTTAGATAAAGTTTTTTAAAAATATTTACTTTTGAAAATGTTTCCTAGAGCGTCCCTACTTAAAAAAATTTATATAGAGCACCTCTTCTTATGTGAAAAGATCATTTCGGATCTATCACGCATAACTCTCTCACATCATGGCACTCGCACGAGAGCTACATATGAGTCACTCAAAAGTGAGTCTGGTAGGGTTTGCATAGGCGATAGCAGCCCTCGTGCTCTTTCTTTCCTTGAGCGAGGGCTACGAGCAATGGGTTCAACGCATAGAGTGTGCAAAGCCACAAACGAGCATGACGATGATAATGTAAGGCGACATAGGGGCGATGCAAGGTAGAGGCGATGATGGATTCAATGAGAGCTAGGGGCAACATGGTTATTTATGAAAAAACTTCAAAAATAAAGATTTGTTTCGAGAATTCATCCTAATTTTTTAATAAAAAATAAGAATCATCCACAAAGTCAAATATTTAGAAAGAGTCAAAAAGTCAACTGATTAAACTGTTTAATTGGCTTACAGACGTAATAGCAGCTTTAAGCGATCATGAACAACGCAATTACACATCAAGATCTAATAATCTGAGAGATGATAAGGAAAAGTTTCTCATTTGTTTTGGCTACATTTTCGAAATTGGCATGCACATAAATGTAATCACAGGTAAGCTCTATGCTACAGAACGCTCTTCTCTTGTTAGTAGATACTTGGCTACATGTCACTTGTGACTTGGCTGCATAAACTTGAGAACATTTACTTCTCCTCCTCCATTGCAAGTTGTTGCAACCACATCACGAGACGTGGTGCGCACTCATAGATTAATGGAATCGATAGAGTAAGATCCTGAAGTCGACACACTGACAACTTGTGAGATCTGAAGTTGACGTACTGAACTTGTCAGACACTTCGGCAATGATATCTCATATTACATCTTGCATGGTTCTAAGGGTATCAATAGGGTGAGACGGGACAATCAACTTGTGGATTCCTTCTATTCTTATAATTAATTAATTCTATTTTAGAAAAAAATATAAATAATAATATCAAAATGAAAAAGAGATTGGGAAATAAAAATCATGAAATGAAAAGATTGGCTTAGTGATTATAAATATTGAGTTCGATTATTAAATATATATTTTTATTTATATTATTATTAATATATATTTTTGTATAATATAATAATATAAATAGGACGAGGATAAGATGGAAAGTGCTCTCTCTGTCCTCGTCCGTTCCATAATACGGAACCGTACGGATAATGAAAAAGTAGAATTGTCACCTTTATAAGTTCATCTTCTCCATTTGTATCAGAGTGACTGTAACTTAAGAGTAGCAAGAGCAGCAGATTCAACAATTTCCACTATAGCAGTAGCGAACAATATAAGATTCCATGTAAAAATGCCATAAGACAGGTTGCCAATCTCAGGGAAAAAACCAGTTCCTAAATCGATTCAATAAGCATATAAGATGTCTCCTGCCATAAGATACATGCATAAAAATGAACAGCAATGGCACTAAACATGTGACAGAAAGATGTAAAGATACTGATTTCGGAAGACCATACATAAAAGAGAAAGAATGACAGAATAGTTCACCAGCCTAAGAACCAATGTAACGAAAATAAATAGAAGAATTAAAATTACAAGTAGTGTCGTCATATCTTCCTTATATTCATAGCACCAGTTATGTATGACAAACATTTTAGTTCCCAACAACATTCTATTCATCACAACCTCACTGGTCACTAAGACCCACAACACGCTGATCTCGGTGCTGCAGTACCCTCAGCAGCTGCCTGGTCTGGTTTGTTAATCTTGATTGTTCGATCCTGCAACCAAACCAACTGATTAAGCTCCATACATAGAATACCAGGTTAGTTCTACAGAGAATCCTTACCTCAGGTTTGGAATCAGTTTCTGCAAGTCTTTGCTTGATATCTCTAGCTATTGAAAAGAAGACCTGTTCCACGTTTAGGTTTGTCTTTGCACTCTGCGATGTGCAAAATACCAGTTACTATAGACCAGCATGAAGGCAAGTGAAAACAAAGGTGAAGCCCAAAGAAGAACAGCTATCCCCTCAGCCTTCTTAATTTTCGATGACATAACATACTACTACTTACAGTTTCAAAAAACTTGATTCCATATTCATCAGCAAGTGCTTGTCCCTTTGCAGTCGGCACAGCCTGTGAAACACAGTTTAAGCATCCACATCGGCAGGGTCTTGAGTGCCTATATGAACTGAAATATACATGTGTGTGTGTGTGTGTGTGTGCGCGTTTGTGGACCAACCAGCTATGATGAACTATGGTAACATACCCGTTTGCTTTCATCCATGTCGGCCTTGTTACCAACGAGAATCTTGTTAACGTTATCAGAAGCATGCTGTTCAATGTTGCGAATCCAATTCCTTATATCTGTATGTTACAAAAATCATGCACTAAAGGGATCAGAAGTGAAATTATATAGAAACTAAGCTACAAAAAATAAAAGGTGTAAAAGGTTATTACTGTTAAAAGATGACTCATCAGTAACATCATAGACAAGCAAAATACCCATAGCGCCTCTATAGTAAGCTGCAACAGAAGAAAATAAGAGAGGGTTACCACAGAAGCATTTGAAAACCTAATATATGCAAAAGATGCACCCTGCAAAATTCCAACTTCAGAAAAGCAATAAACCCACCAGTTGTTATAGTTCTAAAGCGCTCCTGACCAGCAGTATCCCAAATTTGAAGTTTAATCCGCTTGCCATCCAGCTCAATAGTTCTAATCTTAAAATCAATACTGTGTAAAGACCAGCAGTTTGCAATCAGAACTAGACAGTTGTGAATATTGGACTACACCAAAATAATCATAAGTTCAAAGGAAAAAGGGGATCAAATCTAGCAAGGCTTGAAACATAACCCACCCTATAGTAGTAATGAAACTTGTTGTGAAAGAGCCGTCAGAGAAACGCAAAAGGAGGCAACTCTTCCCAACACCTGCAGAAAAAGGCTCATGACAAAATAATAAAGATCTCATAAAGATCTCAAGAGACAAACTACGTGATCTAACATTGTTCGGATTTTGACATCAGTCGGTCCAATCAACTTTGTTATATGCAATTAAAAAGTTCACTCTCCTATTTTCAGATTTCTTATTTAGAAGAGAATCTGAGTTATGCCCTGAACTCCTAACAATGAAACTATAGCTTAGAGGTAGAACTGACAGGGCCCACCTGAGTTTTTACTTATAAGTTGTGCAACTATCTAATATTATCCTTCATGTAGAAGCACACAAAGTTTATTAGAAGTCTGGGAAGAGAGTTCAAACTTCAAAGTTCAAACAACTTCATATGTGTGACAATCGACGGATCACCTGAAGTGACTCAAAACTACTAAGATATTAATCTCAATCTCTTTTTATTGATTATGTTTGTCTAATCCAGATACATGTCTAAGTACCCTGACAAATACCAAAATATTCAATTAAAAAACAGTTAGCAAAGTTATAGGAAAAGAGAGAGAGAGAGAGAGAAGAGATAAGAGTCTGGCAACATTGCATGGCAAGAAGCACACTTGATAGTAGAGTATAATATTTAAAGAAGTTACCACACACAAGGATATAATTCTCTTTTTAAGAATAGAAAGATAAACAACAACATGTTCACATAATCTAACGGATACCCAAACAACTTAAGGGTTTATAGGAAGGGACAACATAAAAGACTCATCTAGCAAAGACTCTGACCATGATTACTATTATCTTTAGTAAATTGAACATGTACATACCAAATTATAATTTTGAATCCAATTCTTGCTCTCAAGTTATGGTATCTATCAAGTCTCACCAATCACATAAGAACTGTAAAATTATAATCTCCATTCTTTAGCATCTTTCTCGAATCTCGAGTATACAAACTTCCATCATGGATCCTAGTTCCTGCATATTGGAGATATCCCGACCAACAAAGAAATTAAAATTGAACGGCAAGCTGTCAACTAAAAGATATGTTCGATCTCATGGGCTTGAAAATCTGATAAGCTCCAATCCAGAAGCACAAAAACAAGATATAGATAGCTCAATTTTAGCTGAGGGGTTCGATAATACTCCAAACCGGTAGACTAACAAACTGCACAACGGCATACTCCTGGCATGGAACTGTAAACAGATAAACATATCAGGCTTTTCTATCAGGTCAATGTCCACCTAGACAACAAAACCTTGATCTCAAAGCATCCTACCAGATAAAAAGGAAGAAAGTTTGGATTGTTCTATTAAAAGAAATTTTGGCAGAAATTGAACGCATTGGAATCCAGGACAGAGCATCATTAAATGGTTGACTTTGGACGCCATGCCGTAAGAAACCGGTGCCCCAATCAAAAGTCTAATATCGACCGAGATCTAGCTCCCATATTTTAGTCTAATATCTCAAAATGACTACGGACAAGCGATGCCCCATTGACAGATCCCCTAAAGATCCAAGCTTTCATGCTGATCCATCCCAACCAAATCGAACCATCAAGCCACGTATTCCTCAAATCAGGAATGAAAATATCCCACTCAAACCGGAAAGGGAAGAAAGACCGAAACTTCAAAATGGACAGCAAATAAAAAAGAAACACAGAAATAATTCACCGTATCCATGGGAATGAGAGGGGAACGGTAACCCTTACCGCTGTCGCCGATCAGGAGAAGCTTGATGAGGTAATCGTAGTCGGCCCGAGCCCTAACAGGTGGAGCAGCCATCGCCAATCACACCGAAACACCCAAAATATAGAGGAAAAACAGACCGATCGAGGGATCGAGAATCCCTAATCCTACGCCACGGCCACAGATCCCCCCTCCCTCCCTGAGGAAAACAGATCAACAAATTCCAACCGCTCCATACAACGATCCAGGAAACCAAATGGACAAAAGGAGAAGAAGAAGAAGAGAGAGAGAGAGAGAGCAGAAGCGCTTACGAGATTTCCCGGCGGAAAGAAGAGGAGGAAGGCTTTGAGATCTCGGATGTGAAGGTATCGAGAAGAAGAAGACTTGTTTGGGTCGCCGTGCCCGTTAAGAGGGGTTTGAAGAGGACGAAATGATCGAGCGACCACTGCACCACCTTATTATATATTTAATATCTTTTGTTATAATTGTTTTTTTGTATTTTATTATTTATGACTATGATTTTATTGTAATTTAGTTTTCCATACAAATATAATTATATTTAGATAACTAATTGCTGATAATAAAGAAAACCAACAAATATGGACAGATAAAAACATTTACTGAGTCTTAGTTTGACTAATTATTATCCGTGAAAAAGAAAATTCATGCAAGCAACATTAAATAATAGAGACTACTGATAGAATTGATGGGGCCCATCGAGTTGCCCAATCCAAAGGCAGCTTGGTGATAATAATACTATGACAGATGGGTGTTGACATCATTGCTTGCTGTTCCACACGAGAAGAAACATGTTATCAAACTCATTAATTTAGTGGCTGCAGGGAGACATCATCGACAGAGAGGATATAAATATCAATTGAGATTTATTCTGCCTTGGAGGATGTAAATGGCTGTGTGTAGTGGAGCCCACCGAGTCCCATCCATCATCGGGTTGGTGGTAGTGGAGCCCACGCGCATGAATGGTTCCGATTCGGCCTTGGAAGTCGAAGTTTCCGACGGGTTGGACGCGTTGGGTTGACGTGCGGATTGTTTGCAGCAGTAGTCCTCCTCGGTTCCCATCTTTGAACATGGAAACAAACAGCTACGACAGGCTTAATCTACGAGTGATAAGGCTGGACATGGTTGGAGACGCAATATTCTATCCCTTCTGATGCTTGATAACATGATTCTACCGATCGTAGTCGACCATACCGGATCAATTTAATTTGGTTGTGGGAAGAGGACAAAGATCTGAAGCTGAAACAAGCAATCAGACGAACAACTTGGACATGCATGCTTGTCGGACGACATACTAAGCCACTGAAACTTTCTTCCCTTGATCGATGCTTCTCCAGACCATTATGAGATCAGAGAAGTCGTTTTGGGTGGAGCATCATGTCATCTTCCACGGACTGCTGTTTCATGAATGTGAGGAAGCGCAGTGGCTTGTCGTAGTTCTTCGAGAGCGAGAACTGAGTTCACCGTGGAACTCAGTTCGAGAGCACAGACGATGGGCTATACAGAACCGGAGCCCAATGGACTACCGACATCAGAACCTCCACTGTTGTTCATCCAAAACTCGATCGGTTGAAGTACAAAACTTGGGTCCGAGTTCTTTAGCAGACAAAGGAAAGAAAAACTTAGGTAGATTCCACAAACGCCTTTTACATAAACAAAGCAGACAAAATTGGAAAGGGAGATAAAGGGGAGTGGGGGGAAAGAGATGTGCTCGAGGTATATGCTTAGAAGATCCCCCTACACATGACTCCACGAAAGCGTCTCCCACAATCCAAAGCTTCCTGCTCCGTTCCAGCGCACCACATCTGTTCAGTATATTAAAGTTCGTTCCCCATCATCCATGAACACCATCTCTCTCCAAAGCGGCATGGAGGAGTCTCTCTTGGGACTCCTTCCCCAGCAGTGCTCTAATGAGCAGCAGAAGCCGGCGTCGGTGCCAACTACGTGGATGCCGGCGGTGAAGTAACCACCACGGTCGGGTCATGTAGGGCAACTTTGAACCTTTGGCAGTTCTCATACACTTGGCCGAGATGTTTCCGATGTAAACCGATACCTTTGGAGAGTCATGTAATTTCTTCCTGGTGCATTTTGAGATCAAATATGTACGGTGTCAACTCTCTCTCTCTCTCTCTCTCTCTCTCTCTCTCTCTCTCTCTCTCTCTTGTGTTTCGTCTTGGCCTCTGCTGTTGAGTGGTAGCCTCGACTGAGCTACAAGCCAAGGCCGGGCTTGGCAACGCCATGGCGAGGGATGGAAGCAGTCGTGTGACGCTCACCAAGTTTTCTCTTAGTTTGCGCAGCTGTACTCGCCATGCTTTGATATATCTTAATACATAGGTGCTGTTATTGGGTGTCTTATTGGTGGCTTCACCATTACAATATATTACCGTATAGCACTGTGCTTGGTTTGGTGGCCTTTCAAGCGAAACGAGTGCCCGGAGTTGATGACTATGTTTCCAGGCAGCGCCCACGGAAGAGTCCCGCGTTCGAGCAGTGGGGCAGGAAGCTGCAGCGCACTGATCGATTCATAGCTGTAGCATTCGAGCATTAAACCAGCAGAGTGAGCCAACGATGGACTCTGCTCCTCACGACACTACAGCTGAGCCATACCTGCTGCACTCTGCATTACGAGCCAGAGATTTATCGGTGCTTACTTCATGCATTAAACCATTCATGCATTACTTCGCTGTTTCCCTCTGCATTGCTAATTGACCTAATCTTTAGAGTTTAGCAACTTGATCAGGCATTATTAAGTCAACAGCAAATATTTCAAGGCGATCTGTTGTTCATCATACAAATCCGATCATTGTGCTTGGACACAAGACATCACATACAAAAGGCTCAAGACACTTCTGACGTATCTCAAATTCAAAGATATTGACCAAATGAAAGCTCAGCAGTTTAGGCACACAAGCCTAGCTTTCGCTGAAGAGGTAACAAATACAGAGATACACATTGTTTTATACTTGCGCTCCGCCTACAAGTACTTGATGAGAAGCCAAGCTACAATGACCAGAATCACAATTGCTACCACGGACAGGAGCAGGCACATGCATGAACAACCACCCTTTGTGCGCTTGTTAAGGATTGCCAGCCTCTTTTGCACTCGCTGCATTAAGTCAACACACTCAATCAACCTCTGGCTAATAGGTAATAGTGCTCAGTATTTATCGTAATCTCCTAGGTCAAAAACGTAACTTAAGTTTCTTACACCAAATATAAAAGAAAAGCTCTGAGTGGTAAAATAAAATCTGTCTTGAACAGTATTCAAACAGCGTATAACCTTGACAAAGCGTAAATGCCAAAAACTCGGGAAATATGCAAACATCCATCTCCACGATGGTCACTGTTCACAAAGGTCGGTTTTATACTCTGCTCACCTGAACATTTGATCGACAACACTGTATATATATCTGTGTATATACATTGGCCGGCTACCATAGTTTTGTGCATCAGTGATGTGAAGTTTCATTTGAACGGGAAAAACAGATACAAAAGAAAAAGCAATAATTAAAACTTCTAACAGGTCCTGTTTTAGGGTGTGTCAGTGGCAACATCAGAGTACTTACTATAGGGTTGATACAAGCCAATGAAGTGAAACAATAACATTTTACCTGTAGCCGTGAGTCGGTTACATCAACATGTTCGTCCAGATCATCCTGCATCAGGCCAAACGATTTGAGTTAACGATGGCTGCTGAAATCCTAAAAAAGATCTTGACATTAGAAAGAATAAGCCTATTTCTGGGTCATGATGTTACATACAATTAATCTTGTATGAAGATCCAATTCTTCATTGACTGCTAACGCAATATGTTTTGTGCTTAAAACTGTCTCCTCCAACTTTTCAAGGCCCTCATCTTGCTCTGTAGAACCATATAAATAGATAATGTGTTGAACAGAAACAAATTATTGAAGACAGAAAAGAAAAATTATAAGGGCATACCTCTCATAACCTGCCTCTGTAAAGCAACGATACCTTGATTATCCAACCCAGAAGTTCTGCTCATCACATCAGCTGACTTTATACCATCTCCAAATAAGTCCTCCCTATATTTAGCAAAGTAGGTAACTTGATGACTGCCTATTGAGAAACAATATAACAGAGGCCAACAATATGCCTTGCATGCAAAAGCTCTATGATTCCCAGCAGGGAGACTAGAATGGCTTTCACTTCCACAACATGCTAGAACTTTATAGTGAAACAAGAGTGTAAAGAAGTAGCATTACAAAGAACTCCACAGTAAATGTAGTTTACTATGTGAAGCCAGACCTGTTACCGAAGTTTGACATGTTTAACGTAGAAGCCATCTGATTTGCTTTAGATTTCATGTTTGCTAGCATTTCTTGGCGCTTATGTAAGTCCTTATCCTTTCTGCATTAAGAAGGAAGTTAATATATGAGAAAAACAGTATGCTTCTCATGTTCTGAATGTAGAAAAAAGTTCTGAAGCAAATTGAGCAAAATTTACAATATCATAATCGTGAGTACTCAGTCTATACATGAAAATTAACCGTAACCTTATGCTAGCTAACACAAAATGGTGGTAGAGGAAAAACAAAAAGTACTTGTGTCGTAAGAAATTTGAGTAAATTTACATCAGCAGTATATGGAGAATACAAAGAAGCCCGTTGCGATGAGGAACTACGAACTTTTCAGCTAAGTCTACAAACTTTTCGATGGTGCTCTAAAATAAAAATCGTAATAATTAAACCACCACCAAAATTCATAGCTTCCTATGGCTAACAATATATGACTTTCATGGGTAAAGTTGATCAGAAGTGTTTGTTGATGTAGACAGATGAATTGTGCGATCATGATCCAACTTCGGATCAGAGAGTTGTCAGCTAAGAACCCCAACGATTTTGGAAATCAAGCTTAATTGATCGGAGCTGGCCTTCTTCAGCAATGACTTAATTAAAATTCTCTGAGACTTGAATGGAGTTAATTTAATTTTGTCCAAGTTCAGCATTTCAGCTTTTGTCTACTTTGGCAGCTTCTTTGGTGGATAAAGCAAGAATAGTGGAATCCTAAGTTCATTAGAATTGATCCTACTGAAGAGCTACTACGAGGGGAATCTTTCTTTTAGCGAATGATAATATACGGTAGTCTTTCTGCTACCAGAAATACAGTATTAACAGGACATAGACCTCTCATCTCTTTGATTTTTCTTCTGCATCTGACTTAACCCTTTATCTCTATTCAATCCCTCTTCCCTTTTCCTTCTTTCCCTTATCACTCATCTTCTTCTCTCATAGCAGTAACACAAAAGCATTCTCTCCTCTCAGCCAAAATCTTCTGAACAGCGTTAATCTGTTGCCAATAACCCCACTTATGTGTCCTCAATAGTTGGAACAAATGAAGACTCAAAATGATTCAATCCTAGAACTACTAATGTGGACTTCAACTAAAACTAAGATAGAGCTAATAAGGAACTGAACCGCATGAAAAGATGAAGCTGTCTCTTCAAAGAGCTTGCCCTTTCATGATAATAACTCTTTTGAATGAAAGATACGCTGAAGTTTTTGTAGATTGTGACAGTGCCATGATTAATGCTTCCAATCTACTAAACAAACACTTGCCTAATGCAACTAGAAAAAAGGGAGCAAAGCAGCTGTAATTACAAGCCAAAAAACAAAAGCAAAAGTATTCCTTAGGAGAATAGTGAGAACTTGTAGGAATAGGAAACACATACATTGGCTGCATACTAGGAAGCTTTGAAAGGAGAGACTCCAAGCTGTCCAGTCTGGTCCGAAGAATTGTTATCTTCCTCCTCATCGCAGTTAAGTGGCGTTGTGTATCGGGGCCTGATGGAGGCAAAGAGCCCCTTTCAGACATCATGGCACTAATATCCTCAGAGAGCTTTGAAGCTTCATTGAACTCCCTCATCCATTGATCTAAAGAAGATGCCATTGGTTTTGACAGAATCTACAAACACAATCTCCACAGTGAGGATCCAAGATATCTAATCTCATGATATTACAATGAGAAATTGTTATGACAAAGCCCCAAAAACAAACAGATGATGCCGATGAAATTAGGAACTTAATCTATCGGAAAAATGATAACATTAAGACCAACAACAAGTCATAATGTCCCAAGTATCCAAAATCAACTATGTCAATCTTTTTTCCATCATTCAATTATATGTAAAGCAATATCTCCATTTAAATTAAGATTATTCAAATATATTTTCATTGTTCCTAATATAAATCTGCCTCTCCTCACACCACAAAATCTTAATTAAAGCACCTTGTGTAACCAAAACATCTATAAGTCTCCTTGGAACATCTATAAGAGCCACAGATGGCTTCAACTTATTTGAATCATGTGAATGATTCAAAGAGACCTTCCTGGATATCTATCCTATTAGTTCAGGATTCTCAGCAATGACCTCATCATGATAAAAAAAACATCAGGGAAGATCGATCAAGCTGACTAACATTGAACATCCACATACAAGAAAGAATCACAACTCTCACGCGGTAATGGCTAATATGCAATAGTTAGACTGAGAGGACAGAATATGCCACGTCCAAACAACACTCAGATCCGTCACCCCAGAGAAGATCAGACTCTCAATCGGACGAGGATTGAGACCTCTGTCTGGGAACAGACTTGATGCCTTTGGGGTTGTCCAAATTTACTCCGATTCAAGCAGCTCCCAACTGAAAATATATCCATTTCCATAAAATATAACATTGTTAACTCAGACCAGCTAAAGAACGTGATGTTTTTTCCATCACACATTTACGATTTTTCCCAAGTGTTACTTTCCCATCGCCATGAATTTCCAGAAAACTTACAATCGAAACTAAATTCTCTGAACTTAATAATCATCATTCGCAACCCTAAAACCCATTTCTCTTATGAATCCATCCCTCTCCCTCCTCCTCCTCCCCCCCCCCCGCCCCCTTATTCGTGTCAAAAAAAACGTCGATCTCGACCGAAGCAAATCGAATGTGCCAGAAAACGAAAAAAGGGTTATATTGTCACTAAAGGATTTGGGCGAAACCCCAGCCACACCGCACCACATCAACAATCACTAATTCCAATCAAAAAATCCTAAATTTGGACTTGAACACATCCGATGCCCCGAAAAAGAGGATGAAATTATTGTTCTCATTAAAGGAATAACGACAATCACAAATCCAATCACAATTACTCAACGAAGAATTCACTAAAAAGAACCTCGGTAATCCCTCGAAAACACGAACTTGGGTAAAGAAACGAAGAGGAGAAGCAATCAAAAGATGAGATTAAGGACCTTACTGCTCGAAGGACACGATCGAGGATGGCTTCTCTTCTCGCTTTAGTTCCCCCTTTCCTCGATACCAAATAAAGCTTCTGCGCCGCGTTGGGAAGTCGCAATTGGAAGGGGTCTACGCTGTCGTCCCAATCTATTTCCTCCGCCGACGACAAAAGAAATGTGCCAAATAAGCAGCAGACTCCGACTACCGAACTTACTCGGATAACACGAATTCAATCGGATCGGATTTTTTTTTTCCGACCCGACCCATTTTGTTGGTTATGGAATTGGGTTACAAAGGAGACGAAATTCAATCGGGTTGGATCTTTTTTTTTTTTTTGTCAGATCCGACCCATTTGGTTGGTTGGAATTGGTGCCTGTGTGAGAGAAGATCGGATAAGACCGTACTTCGGAGACGAAGCTCAAACTCAAATCAATCTAACACTCGTTTTCACCACCCAAGCATTCGTGTGGGTAACCTTACGCATCCGGGGTTGGATCGAGTCGTGTTGACGTCTCGATCCAAAAATCAAGTCACTCATCGTTCACATCGTTTTAGGGACACTAATACAGATGGAAAATTTTTTTTTGTCTTATGAAAATTCTCCTAAATACAAATATCGTTGTCTTTTGGATGGCATAACCATAGATCGCATCTTTCCTAGTTTGACAATACCAACATAACCATACATCGAATCTTCCGGTATCTCCTCCGACCATTTATCGATGGGAATCTCATGAATCTCCACACTAATATTCTATGACTGTTCTTATCTTTTGTTTGTCAAAATGGTAAATTATGGATGTTTCACTTTTAAAGGATAATTAACTAAGAAAAGTAATTTATAATTAGTCGACGATCAAGAGAAGTCGGATTAATCAAGATAATTAATCTGAACGTATCGGAACAAAGATTTGATCTGAACGCCAAGCCCCACTTAGTTACGAGAAGAGAGATCAGGAATCAATGAAACCAAACGGACGAATCGACGATCAATTCCGCAAAGGTCAGATGAATCAGAGACTTTCGACTTTCCAGATCAAGTTGTGATCGAAAGGGAGGAATAATCGAGATAATAACTTTCTCATCTAATTGGCTTCATGCATCATCTCTGCTATTACTCGTATAGATGAACAATGGAGATAAAAAACACAAGATCGTCTTGAATGAGGTTCCAGCGGCCATTAACGAGATAAAATAAAGCGACCACATCTGAGATGGTACAATGTCGTCTCTGCCGTGCAATCAATGTATCTGCCTCAACATTAATTATGTCCGTAACCATGACTTCCTTCACCCGTAAGACCGCACTTACGCTCGAGAGCACTGCCCTTTTGTGTCTCGGCCGAAGAATAAAGGAGGGGAAGCCGAGCGAGAGAAGGGAGGCGAGGCAACACAACAGTAAATGAGAAGAATCTGTTCCTTGTGTCGGCCACGCCACTGATAGATAATATCGGCCAGGGAGAGGGGGCAAGGAATCATATACCATTGTCATCCATCCATCTCGCCTCGCGTTGTTCGCGCAAGACCGTCCTTCTCTGTCTGCCGGTGGCTGCTGCCGGTGTGGGACGCCGCCTGACCCAAGGGTGCATTTATTACACAGCGAAATCCTACGTCTCCACGTGCGAGGAGGGTCCATCGGACGGTGACGGTGGCTTGATGCAAAACACATGTAGCTATTTCACCATAGGTTTTTACAAGCTCACGGGGCTTTAGGATTCGCGCTTCGAGGCATCGACGGTGGCCGCGCAGCGGGGAGGCGACGAGCGGACGAACCGAGCCCCGCCGTCACTGGAGGGGGAAGCGGGAGCCGGTGAGGACGAACGAGGCGACGCGGAAACCGGAAACGAGGGCGGAAAGGGCGAGAAACGCGAAGCCCGCGAAGCCCAGGGCCACCGATATGTACGCCTGCACGCAGAAGGAGGCGGCCGGCTTGTCCGCGGTGCACCCGCTTAGCCCCCGCGCAGCCGTCATCCCCGCCACCCCCGCCGAGAGCGCCAGGTATGCGAACAGCTGCGACGAGTGGTCCGACACCCATCAATAATATAGATCGGAAGAGAGAGAGAGAGAGAGAGATGAAGAATTTGGAGGAGCGGAGAACGGAACCTGGTCGTGGGCGAAGTCGAACCAGAGTTGCATGGGCTCCGGGAGGAGGGTGGCGCCGTGGAGGATCTCCCGGATGGAAGCGCACATCTCGAGGAGGGAATAGACGGCCACGATGGCGTTCGCCGCAAACATGACTCTGCCGGAAGTATGATCAGGGGAAGAGAACAGAGATGTTAACGAGAAAAGGGGAGGATGAACGAGATCCACAAGTTACCGGAAGGAGTCGACGCTCAGCCAGGAATAAGGGGACGAGGCGGAGCGGGAGGAGTTTGCGGCGGTGAAGACGGCAGCGGAGAGGGAAAAGCAGAAGGCGGCGAGGCGGAGGAGGAGGATGAGCAGGTTGAGGCGGCGGATCTTCTGCTCGGAGACGGTGGAGCGGAAGGAAGGGTAGTTGTGGTTGTGGTGGTGGAGCGGCGTAGGGGCAGCGGGCGAGGGGAGGCGTGGATGGGCGGCATCGCCGTTGCGAAGTGGAGACGGCATCGTCGTGGCGAACAAAGACTCGTAGTAGTAGTAGGGGTAGAGGGAGTGGATGGTGATGATGACGACGATATCCAAACAACTCCGGTCATTGGAAAAGTGGGCTCAGTGTTTGTAAATTTGACCATTTTATATATTTCCAACCAACGGTTCAATTAACACACCTTTTCCTCGTTTACCTGTCAGTCAACGAAGGTTTAATCAGAGGTAACCAAACCTAGAGGGGAAGCTTCTGCGGCGCAATGGCCGCCTCAAACTCCCCCGTGAGTGCCCGATCCGGCAACCCCACCGACGAAATACAAGGTTTTTATTTCTCGAGGTGCCTCACTAGTTATTTTGATGCATCTTGTTTGTGTAGTAGTAGCAAAGGATGCTTATCCATGGACTGCCCCTTCTACCACCAGAACAGTAGAAACGCCAAAAGAAAGATATCATTCGGTCACTCTCAAGACTACCGGAGAGCTGGTTGAAGCATCCTTCGTCTCGTTGCATTTACTCACTGTACAGGTGATGTTTGACAAGGCACCTGAGCTCTTCCGTACGTTTCTGTCAAGTATCCACCGCATCGGCCGCAGCCGTCCAGGAGGTGTATTTTTAAAACTTTCTTTTTCATATTTCCCATATAGCATCCTCAATTTATAAGATTTATAATATGTAAGTTACATTTTATAGACTGGTCTAATCTCACAGGTATAAATTTACAGTATTAATTATAGTATTTTTTTATCTCCATCAAAATACTATGAGTTTCAAAAATACTGTACATGAACTAAAAAATAATAGAAAATACCTCATATAACTTTTAAATAGGAATTCTTATTAGTTTAGGAATAAAAATAATCAAATAAAATTTTTATATCAATTATAATATTTTTGAATATGTTATACTGTTTTCCATAACATCGAGTTTATTAAAAAATATTAATCCATAGGATGTAATCGAATATTATTTCAATTATCTTATAAGAGATATTTAAATAATTATGATAATAAATATGTCCTTTGAGAAATAATAAAAGGAGAGTACTATTTAAATTTTTTACTATTCATAATCTCTTAAAATTTAATAAAATAATATATTTTTATTTACAATCTCCCTAATTTTGATTTCATCTTTTTTCCTTTTGTTCCCTTCTCTATAGCTTTTGCGATCAACACTCCCTAATTTTTTTGTGGTCAATCATCACCCTCTCTCAACCCATGCTGCTTGTCACTTCACTCCTAATAGTAATGACAACAATATGTCAAATTCAAATGATGTGATCGTCAAATGCTCTCAATCTTATCGTCGAAGGAGAACTTGATAATGAAAACAATACATTTATGACCTGTCAAGATTACGTACTGAGGTCGAGGAGGAAGAATAAGAAAATACGATGAGAAAAAAAAAAGGTGAGAAATTTTTCATATATATATATATATAATTATAAAATATGATTATAAATAGTAAAGAGAACTAGTAAAAAGTAAGCTCCAATATATATTAAAAAAAAAGATTCGGAATTAGGCCTTAACCAAAAGAGAACCAGTAAGGTTATCTCCACGGATTTCAAATTGATGCAGACTTCCAACGCTCATCTCGATTCCCCATGACTACAGAAATGTCAATTCCCCTTGTCAAGGGGATCTTCTAAACTCCCTCGTGTGACAGCAACAACCTGGGATTTACACCGCGCGGAGGTCACGGGGTGAGAATGCCTCGTGACCTCTGACACTACTCTTCTTACAGACACCGACAGGGCCATGGAAATCGCAATAACCAATGGCCGTAGGCCTGACACGGAACATGTTTTAGTACGAAGCAAAATAAAGAGCAGTAAATTTGAGTTGAACCAAGTAAACCACCGACCTACGTCATCTAATGCTAATAGTAAATAACACATAAGATATCAGATAATATCTAATTACTACGTATAAGCTATCTCGGTTTGAACCATGTTTAAGCAGCACTATGAATGATGAGGCAAACCAACAAACAGATGGTCTGCATCAATTAAAGATGTTATCGGTACTATGCATAAAAAACAACCATGCTTAAGCAGCACTATAAATGATGAGGCAAACCAACAAACAGATGGTCTGCATCAATCAGAGATGTTATCGATACTATGCATCAAAAACACTAATCGTCCTTCAATGTCCAGTCCCAAGTTCTAATCAATGACGTACAAATGTAAAGTTATCAAGCCCCGTGCGAAAAGTCGCATGAGATCCTAACCCATCGCTACCAACGGTGGCGATAAACCCGTCCGATCACGAACAGAATTCGTCAAAAGAATCCATCATATCAGAAAGGTAATAAAAGAGGAAAGAAGCATGACTAATCGACTCAAGGGGGGGGATCACTCACTACAGCGTGTCAGGCGATCATCGAATGGTCACGCTCCACTCGATAACGCACCGGATTCTTCAAAATATCTAATCCAAGAAACACCAAAGCAAACCCTCATTCGAGACCCTAGGCATGAGCAATCTACATGGGGAGGAATCCGATTCATACCTTTAAGCTGCTTCTGGAGCAGAAGGCTCGATGCCGCCATTCGACGAGATACGCGCAAAAAAGAGTCTCATCCACTGATCCTGCAATGCCGTGGAAGAGACGCGAAGGGAGGAGGGAGAGAGGGGTTTAAAGAACGACGAGGGGGGCTACTTATATGGCGATGAAGGAGACGGCAGAGGTTGGAGGCTAATTACATATTAGCTTCTCGAACTTTGGATCCTATTAACATGGATGTTCGTATTTAAAATATTATATTACAAATTTTATAATTTTAAAAATAAAATAAATAATCATATTTATCATAATATTATTAGTTATATTGATGAAAAATATAACACATGATGTCACGTGTTGAATCAACATGAAAATGATGATTAAAAAAAATTAACAATGTCGGGATGCCCTACCACCTAATCTATCTCTCGCCATATCATTAGAATGCTTAGGGGCCGTCAATCCAAATTTTAATATTGAACCAACCATAGGTGTCGAGTGTGTAAAAGATGACAGAGTAGGCGTCATGAACATTGAAAGTGGCACGATGAGGATCGAGAATGAGATGCTGTAGTGAGAGACGATAACGACTGTGAAGAGGGGTTATGCTCTCGCTACGCCAAGAATTAGGCGAGATAACAATTATACTTTGAGTATCCCAACGACAATCGCTTTCACTACACTAGGAGCCAAACGAGATGATGATCACACTGAGAGGCAAACTAGATAGCAAAACATCCCGATAATATTGAAATTCTCTTTGCTCATCATTTTGATATCGACCTAACACCTTATGTCACCTATTATATTTTTAGTCAATATAATTGATGATGTTATAACAAATAAAACTAATTATTTCACTTTCAGAATTATAAAGGTGGCTACGCTCTACTTTCGTTAGAGGTAAAGATAGCTACGCTCTACTTTGGTTATAAACAAATATAAACGCGGCGGTTGTTGCGCACATCGGTCGGGCAATGGAGCTTCAGAAGGTGTCGGACCCACCTGTCCCGGCCAAGCCATCAAACTGGAAAAAGAGCGTGTCCCGTCCCCATTGGCTGAAATGGTGGGAACCACATGTGCAAGGCCACAAACTGACGTTACTAATAGCAACCTACGTTTACCTATTCAACAACAACTAGCAGAGAAGCGCATGATCATTTGGAAGCACGAGAAAAGCAAGGGAAAGACTTCCGAACCGCAATAAACTTTATAAGGTGTCCCATAAGTCAACCAGACAGCAAGGCGATTATAGTGGAGCAATTTCACAGTATCAATACAACTCTATACACAGTCTCGTCATATGGACTTACATTTTTCTCAAGTTGTCTAATCTTGCTTGTAAGTCGTTATCAATTCCACCATCTTCACTTCCAGCTGCTTCAGCTTGGGCAACCTTCTTGGATGCCTCGGCTTTAGCCACTGCAGTTGACGGTGCCTTTACAAGCTGTAAGCAAATGAGGGACCAGTTACTTTACGCAAAAACAACAGGAGTGCCGATAATTTTGAAGGAAACGCACGATAAAGGTATCATTTAGATTCACCTCTGAATTAACGTCGATTCCAATTTCATCAAGGACTTGGTTCACAAGTTCTTCAGTTTCTTCCTCTTCCTCGTCTCCTTCCAAAGCATCATCTATGGCATCTCCCATAACCTCGCTGACCATTTCCATTTTCTCATTTTGCCGCTCAAACTCTTGCATTATCTTCTGTAATGCAGGGAGGTTCATCTGCCTGTTCATCTGTCCCATAGCCTTTGTAACACCTTTCATAGCTTCTCCCATTGCTTGTGTTGATTTCAGTGTCTGCAGAAATCATCAAATATTGGTTTTGATGTCAATCAGTTAATTAACTGAATGGAATGACTTGGTTCATAACTAAGTCCATCCTCAACTCTAGGCTGAAGCTTTTGTGCAACCTATACATATAATCGACTCCAAATGGATATGAAGCTTCATTTTCCATGCTGCAAAACTTCAGATTTCTTACCTACTATCAACATGTTTCATTTGAATTTTATGTTTATTTAGGCAAACTCAAGCAAATTTAACAAGGGTTTAAAAGATCGAACCATAATAGGGATTATACAATTTTCGGTCATAACTTTCTCCTCATTGCGTTTTTCCAGACAGTCTTTATACATAACTTCAAAAGTAAAGAACTTATGCCCCCACCATCTTCTTTTTAGCGTCAATCAATATCCAGCTCTTCTATCTAAATTCTACAGACCTAATAATACCTCCCGCTCTCAGCTACAACCATAGTTATACAACCAAACCAGGATCACGTCAAACTTTGGTTCACTAATCCATTGGTCAGATGGATATATTACAAATATTGTTTTCTTTTTCTGTTTCTTTAATCTGCTTATTTGTTCTTTCTTCTCCTTCACTGTCCTTCTATAATCGTCTTTTCTCCCTCCTTGCATTCTCTTCACCTTACTATGCTCCTCTTCTTCTTTTCAATGATCCTCTTCTCCTCCACTCTCTTTTCCTTTTTTTTTTTCTCTTTTAATCTTTTGCTCTTCTTCTGTGCATTCTTGTCTTCCTCCTGCTTTCTTTCTCCACTCGTTGATAAAATCAATGGTTGTGCCAAAGTGGGCATGATGGCAGGGCGTCTGTGATCACACGGGACAAATGGGGACAAAGATGGAAGAGATCGCAAGGAATTTCTTTTTCTTTAATTTCTTATGTTGCTATTACTCAATCACACACAATTATTATTAAACTAAATTTAGATACCAATGATATCGCCTTCCTTCATGTATTTGGAAAAAAAAGGCAATTTCCAATGATTCATAACAGAACTGGTTGGGTACAATCCGGTGTCACGACATACAATCCAGACCTGGTGTTATGACATACCTTATCTTTTAATAGAATAAGATAGGTCTCAAACCTGATTTATAGTTTCTTTGGTCAATTGGTTGGTTCAATCTTGTTCTAATAGCATGGCTATATCGTACTGAACCTCTTTAATGACACTATTTATTCCTTTTCTCCTTGCTGCTTTCTTCTCTTCTAGCCCTCATGTGATTTACCTCCTAATCAATTTTCCTGAAATTGTTCGACCCCCAATATGTCCACTTTCTTTCTCATGATCTGCAGACTAGACTGATGCTAAAACTACTTTTTGCATTTTCTGACATCCTATATTTTCAAACCAAAAACACCAAGAAAGAGTTCATGCCTGAAGCAACTCAGCATTTATCCCTTATTTTATTCATGTTAGCCATTTTCTTTTATGCAATCTGTGCCTAAAGAGGCTAACAACAAAAATAAATGTAATGACTACAACATGGTTAATAACAAGGATAAGTATGCCTACTGCAATCTCATGGATGAGAGCAAACAACAGTAGTATCATTTCAAATGGAGATGATTCTTGCAATGTACTCATCAGTAGAAGTAACAATTGTTTAGATGAATGGTTAGTAAGCGAAAAATGTAAAAAGATAATGTTTTACCTGAATTCTCAGAGATACACCTTGGAGTTGCGACTTGAGCGCATAAAATTTTGTAATCTGGTGTCTTGTTCGAATGAGATCCTTAGCCATGACCTTCACTGCTGCCTGTAACAAGTAATAGCCAGCAAGAATAGACAACTCATACAACAAAGAATCTGCAGCACAAATCACACACGATGTGATAATAAACAATTTAAAAAATCATGCATAAAGAAGCGTTCTAATAAAATCCGTAAAAAATGCCAAATTGGTCTGATATGGAACAAAAATAGTAAAAATAATAATAATCAGAATTCTAGAATGAAGATGTTAAAAAAGAACTAGAGACAGCATGACTAAGAATATAGAAAGTGTGTATTACAAAGGCACCATGGTTCTTTTTGTCCCTTTTTCTACGAATTGGGGTGTTTGATCAATATCAAACGAAATGGTATGTAGCCTGTACTCAGAATGATAATGCCATTTTTTGACCACATCTTCTATGTATGTGAAACATATAATATCCAATACAGCTATAGCTAGATCCATGAAGATCAAGAAGGAGTGCTCAGCTGCCTGGTGAAGGAAATGAATTTGAGCTAGTAACATTTCCAGAAGAAAGACCACTTATATATATAATCCCGGTTTCCATTATACCATCTCAACATGCCTAGGCATAGACCATCAGGTCCCGAAAAAAGGGTTCAGCTCATACCCCTGTAACAAATCACCTAACTCTCACAAGCATGGTAAAATTCTGCTAGTTTCCTCTCCTTTTCTTTCAGCTTCTAATTCCTTCCATCTTTTCTCTCCTAAGTATATTTGACACTTTCATTCTAGTTCTTAGCACTCGGCTATTGAATCAATATCATTAGTATCTTGTGACAATCCCTGTATGGGAAAACATGATAATAGCTTAAGCTAGCACAACATGGAAGACAGAATACTCGTGTGGAGGTGCGCGTTCATGATCGGATCTATACAAGATCAATCATTTGCGGTAAAGAATGTATACCATCTGTCCCTGCTTAGCAGTTTTCTTGATCTCCGCAATAAGCTTCTTCTCCTGAGTTTGCAGCCCTTGCCTCTCCCTTTCGATTTCCCTAATTGATTTATCCAGCATTCTCTTGTTCTCCCTCAGCAGCTCTGCAGCCAAAAACAGCCACCATAAAGCTTCCGACCCATCGCAACTTTCTTTTCCAGAAACCAAAGAATGATACCACCCGAATAGGGCTCTCTTATTTAATGCAAAAGCAAACGAAAGATTGGAAACTTAATACTAACAATAATCGATCAAATCGCAAAGCGCATCGACTGATAACTTTGATCTTGAAATAGGTGGGGAAGAGATCGAGGGTACCTGCGGGGGTTTTCCGCTTCCCGAAGATGAAACTCATCGTGATAGATCAAGCGATCACGAACCTATTCCGCGCTTTCTCTCACAATTGTCGATCAAATTGGCACTCGAATTACGGCAAAGAGGAAGAAAGCTTTGATTGCCACCCCCTATCGCGACTCGATCATGATTCCGGTGGAGGGGTTGACGATTCGAGGGCTAAACCCTTTTGTTAATTCTTCTTCTCCAAAAAGCTACCTTTACTCCTTATCGAATGGGCTTATTAAGTAGCAGAAAGGCCCAAAACGTGAGTGGGTGTGGCAGTCGGGAGGGTCTCGTGTCACCGAATCTTTTGAGATCACCAAATATATTTCACTCAAGCGTCCATCTGAACCGTCCGCTTGCTGTGATATATTTGATCTCGTCCATCGCCATAATTTGATGGCAACAAATGCTTTTATGGATAATGTATCAAATAAAGAATCTCATAATCACTTTTTATAATATGATCATTTATACCAAATTTTTTTTCTTCCATGAATACTAATTTTTCCTCACAAAAAATTTTAAATAAATTTTAAATAATATATTCTCTCTTTCCTTCTTTTTTTTCTCATTCTCTCATAACTTCGCCTCATTTTCACAAAAATATTACTTTTATAAAAAAAATAATTTAATATAAATTAGAAAAATAAAATATTCCGTGATAGGATCAGTAGTAATTATTAAAATTTTTCTGATAATTTGACCGAAATTAACTCTGTTACACTAAAAAATAAACTAAATGCACTCATTCACAAAACATATTAAAAAAATCTAAATTCTGGTAATAAATTATCATAGAACCTTCTAGAAATAAAAAAATATATGACTAATGATGTTGGAATTATGTCTAATAGATTGATGAAAGTTTAAGATTATTTGATTAAATTTGATTATATTACACTTGATATTGAACTAAAAAAATAATAAATAATAAATAATTATCCTAAAATATTATAACAATGGGAAAAAAATTTCTAATGATGTTGGAATCATGTTCTAATAGACTAATGAAAATTTGAAATTGTTTGATTGAAGTTAAGCCTATTAAACTTCAAATAAAATAAAATATAAGCATTCATAAAATCTATCAAAAAATTTAAAATGTAATAATTAATGATAATAAATCCTTTTAAAATTGAAATGTTTTGATTGAAGTTGATATTGTTATATAAAAAATAAACTAAACAGACTCAAAGCTATCCCCAAAAATATATAATTTAATAAATAATAATTTTTAATATATAAAAATATATTTATTTATACATAAGAAGAGAATCAGACGAAGAATGACTTATTCACGGGGACATCCTCTTATTAAAGAAAACTAATAATAGAGATCTTTTCTTGATAAATTAATCTACTTTTGTTAGTGGAGTGAATACCTCCCACACTAATAAGAGGGGTAGATCTTTTAATGAAACCTATAAATTTTTAATGCTGTTTGCATGGACCAAATGGACACGTTATGGAGATCAACATGTCCACAACAATCTCTTTACCTTTCAAGTCGAAACATCCTTTAGATCTTCCCCCAGGGAGTTGGTGTTGTGGTTTCCATGCCATCTTGCCATCATCTGTTCTCTCTTGGACTGGCACTGTAAAAGAAAAAGATTTATTTCTCTTGTTGCTCATTAATTACGTGCATGACTCGATGCATGAGGGCAGCAGCACGAGTGCTGCACACGGCCTTTACTCTCTGGCTGTCACACATCATCCATGGGGATTCTGCAAAGGAAGCTAATGAAAGACGTGCCTGATTTAGCCGAGGTGTCACTTGTCTCGAGATCACAGACGATGTCCACGTGGAAGGGTGAATATTTGAGCAAATTTTTTTTTCTGTTTTTAATTGATATTCTAATATAATATAATATAATAGGTTTTGGGGGCGGAGGTGTTGGGAAGGAAATGACACGTGGCACAGTATGATTGGTGGCAGGTGCTCGTCAGATCCACTTGTTGCGCAGCACACGCACACCCACCAATTTGCGCGCGAGGCCGAAGAAGTATCCACTAATCGGACGCTCCAGATCGAAAACAAATTGGTGTGCACGTTAAAGTAAAATGCACCGCGGAGTAAACCAACGCCCCAGCTGTGTCGAGGTAAACAATTCGATTCCCGGCGTTTCCCTTTCTTTTATTGGCCGGGAGGGAAACGACAGCCCCCGCTTTCGCTATCCAGCTCATGTGAGCCGCTCTCGGGAACAACGCAACCTTATCGACCGCACCAGCTCGGGAGGGAGACGAGCCCCGCAAGGGAGTTCTGCAGGGTGGTGATTTCTTTTGAGATTCCTTGTCTCGGCTGGGCTTTTCCAGGGCAAAAGCTGAGGGGTTTTGGCAGTAGTGGTGGATTGCAGAGCTCGTGTAAGCTTTCGGGGAAGAGAAGCCGGCTTGTTTGTTGGACGCATGGTGGTGATGCTACCTGTGAATCGTGGCTCTCAGAATATGATCTTTGTGATGATTTAGTCATTGGATGCGTCGTTTTTGTTCGGGGCTTTTGATTTACTTCTCGCAGGTCCAAGAGCAGGGTAAAGGTGCCATCTTTTTGTTTGTAGTATTTACTAGATTGGTGGTGTTCGGTTTGAGTTTTGAAGGGAGGCCGGAGATTGATTTGAGCGATAAATTTCCTTGTTTTTCTCCTTGTAATTTTCCCCTGCTTTTATCGTAATGGGTGTTGCATTTGTTTCAGGGATGACTGTGTTCTGAATCTCCACCGATAGCTAGCTGTACCTTCTTAATACGCTCGCCTTCCCTTTGTAAGCTCAGAATTGTTGTGTTTGTAGTTCCTTTTGGCTGGAAGGTCTGTCGACGATAGGCTTGATCGAGACCAGACTTTGTAGAGATTACTGCGAAAAAAGATGCGACCTTTGAGCAGTCTGGGCATCGGTTTGAGCCTGGTCTCCGGTTGCCTGTTCTTGGCTCTTGTTGCAGAGCTATACTATCTGCTTTGGTGGAAGAAGAGGAGTAGCAGAGAGGTCGACCACGATTCCAGAAGCCCAGCCGGGGAGCTGCTTTATCTCTGCTGCTGGAGGAAGCCATCTTCCCTGAGTTCCACAGCGCTCAACCCCCGAGACATGACCACCTCGGTGGATGCAGCTGCTTATTCCGACGAGGGACAACTGCAGCTCCGCTCCGACTCCTCCAGCAAAGATCTTCTTTTGAAGGCATTCGGAGGAGAGGACGGTATGGAGGCAGAGCTCATGAGGCTCCATGGCCTCGCAGGCCCTCCCAGGTTTCTCTTCACCATCAAAGAGGAAACGAAGGAGGATTTGGAGTCAGAGGACGGGAGGTCGAGAGGGGGAAGGAGCAGGAAAAGTTCCAGAGGGAAGAGCTTGAGCGAGCTGTTTGTTTCTTCGGATACCCCATTCTTGACACCTCTCTCTTCCCCTCCTCTCTTCACGCCGCCTCTGACTCCTTTGGATTGCTACAAACAAAGTGGATTCAACCCCCTCTTTGAGTCCACAAAGGAAGAAGACTTCATCAAGGTGTGGTCCTCGCCGCCTCCAAAGTTCAAGTTTCTGAAGGACGCCGAGGAAAAATTACACAGGAAGAAACTGATGGAAGAAGCAGGCAAGGTTCACAGGAATGGTGGGCTGGTTAACAGCACCGCGAGACAGGAGAGTCATGTTTCTTCTCATCCGCCTGGTGTCGCCGCCTCACATCCCACGGGCCCAGAAGAAGAGGATGGATCCTTCATCACCATAGTGATAGGAAAGAACAGAGAGAGAGGGCAGCAGCACCATTCAAGTTCCTCGCAGGTGATTCCATTACCTTCTTCTCCTTCGAGCTTCAGACCAGTGCAAGGGAAACGAAGTTCCTCGATTTGACAATTGAGTCCTCATCAACAACCATACTTTCACATGCAGTCGGCGAATTCGGTGACAAGATAACCTTTTTTTGTTGCTGTTGTTGTTTGATTTCTCCACTTGTACTTACTATCGTTGTCTTTGCTTCAATTCCTTGATTCTGAAAAGGCGGCTGTGGGGGGGTGGAAGTCATCAAAACACCTCTTTTCTTGTGATCCAATTGACGTTTGATATCTGGCCAGTTGCCGAGCACCAGAAAGCTGCACCTTTTCTATCTGCATGTCTTCGAGTGCCTGAACTTGTAATCATTCCTGTGGTTTGCAGAGAGTTTTGCTAACTCAATGGCGATCTTTTTTGTCTGCCATTGGTAATTAGTCTTAAAAAATAAGAAAATTTTGATCTTTTCTCATCTGACGGAATCCCAGTTGCTCGATGAAATCGCTTGACGAAGAGGGAGACTTCGCTCGACGCTATTCCCCCATCCCTATCGATGTAGAGAGGCTATAGATGAACAGGGCAGTGTTTCCCAGTGGATGCAAGCTTGGTCGGAGATCAAGGCGGACATCGCGGATAGATTTGTACGCTAACAATGCGAGCAGCTCGAGTCATGTGGGCGTGAAGACGACCATCGGCCGCACCGTTTGACTGCGTTTCTGATGAGGGAGATGCAATGGCACACAAGTCAAAAGAAACATGATTTCCGTATTCTGAACTCGAGGAATCCAAGGAGCCCTCAGAAATATGTAGGTGGCTCTGCTCGACAGCCTCTGTCTGTATCCCTGCAACTAAGTTTCGATGATCGCTCGATGTTACTACTCCAAGAACCAAACACCTGTTTCTCATCAACTCAACGTGTGGTCCGTCAATGAATCCAATATAGTCCCACCTCTTATCCAGATGAACAGTTGTCGTTTGTTCTATTCTACCTCATATATTGTTTTCCTCTTGAAAATTGGGAGGTATTATCCATGAATATTTTATTCTCTTTTGATAAAAAAAAATTGAATTTTCATGAATAATTTTTTTTGTCTAATATATAAAATACTCTCAACACTTATTCCGTTTCTTTCTTTTCATTTTTCTATAGACGGATTCGTAAGGTGAATTACATTTTTTTTCTATAGACCGATTCGAATCACTCGAATATAATATTTTTGTACTACATTATAATATTTTTTAGTATTATTGAAAACGCTATGACGTAATGTAAAAATGTTATTAATTTAATATTTTTGTAAAATTTATACAAAAAATTGTGTTACAATGTTTTTGCACATATATGGATCTCAATCTATAGGAAAAGAGAGAGAGAGAGAGAAAAAAAAGTATTATATATATTAGGAAATGAGAATACATCCTGAAGAAAAATAAAATAAAAAATACACCCAAAATATACATCTGTTGCAAACGAATGGGGGAGAGGAGGATAGCCACCGAAGATAATATGGTAGAGAGAAATGAAGAGAAAACCATGATAGCAATCTTTGATTGCAGCTACTGTGGTACCGAGTCATCCGGTGCGCACAGCATGTGAGCAGGTCGCCATCGTGGTTCATACTCGTTGCCGGAGCTATCAAAGCTCTCGACGCCACTCCTTCTTCTTTGGCTGAAATCCCACTCATATCACTAAAAATAGGTACGTGAGGAGGAGTTTTATCTTTCAACCCTTCGTTTCTGCCGGAAGATGGCATCTTTGCCTTGTCGATTGTTTGTGTCCCTAAATGCTTTGTTCCTTAGGAGACGATTTGAACTACTCGTCTTTTATGGTTGCACTGTGTATCGGTCGTGTTCTTTGTTCCTTGGAGCTCACCTCATGCTAGCCAGATTTCGTTTGCGTTCCTGCTGCTGTAGAGGAAGAAGACATGCCAGAATTGCTGAGCAGTTCCGTCAATGTCGACTTCCTCACGGACTCACAGTTCATTCACCGTAATAAATCTCTCCTGATCTCTCACTCCCGTGCCGCGTAGGAGAAGCTACAAAAGGAAAACAATGGAATTCCCATCGCTAGCTAAAACTCGGATTCCTTTTCAACTTCAATTAAGAGGTGTTTTTGTAGATCTGAAGTGTCTTTGTCAAACACCTGTAGCATTCAAGTCTTTGCAGGAATGCTTTCTGCCATGAACTTAAACTCGCAGCTGAACAACAACCCAACCTGTACAAAATGCGATGCTTGTCCTAAGAGCTAACAACATCCCAGCACGAGGAAAGAAGGAAGTGGGCAGAGGTCGAACACCCGCAGTCCAACAGCAAGAACAGGCGCTTTGTCTTTGGACCATTCTCCTTCCCCCCCCCCCCTAAAGAAGAGAAGTCACATCAGTGGCACAATCCAAGGGGGAATCCCAGACCCAGTTTTATTCCTCCCTTTTTGCTTTAGCCAACACGCTCGGTGGTCGGCCCACAACCAAACTTAGCTTCGCCCTGCCATCTTGGTCCTGTAGAGTCTCTTTGAATGGCCACCATGCTCGATGATCTCCACGACGATGCTGCTTGACATGGAAGCGTTTGGCGAGTAAGAGAAGAACTACGAAATAAAAAAGAAAAATATAAATTATATTATAACTATATACCAAAAATAATAATTAAATTCTTCATCATATTCTTGATTTATCCCTACAACTCATCATGTATAATACCCTTTTACGTCAAAAGAAAATCGACAACACAAAATGTATATATATATATATATATATATATATATATCGTTAAATCTTACTCTTCGCATGGCCTAGAGATGCATGAGATAACAATAACAAAACCCTAATTTTTAGGATTTCTTCTCTTCATGATTAGTCTATGAATAAGATTTCTTATCGTTTTAGACACTTGATTTTAAGAATTTGAAAATACTAAATCATTCCAAACATCAGAATAAATTAATGCTGGTATATGTGTAACCTTTGGTATTATATTAAGATTATCGACTTAATAAAATTTTGCATAGGAAGAATTCCTTTTATATTAGGATGTATTAAGAGAAAAATATAAGTATGTAGTTAAAGCAAGTGTCACACTTGGTGGCCACTTATTCTAGCCAGCTTTTAGGTGAGGAATGTGGCCTTCTTTCCACACTGTGTAACGTGGTGTGGTAGCAAACCATAAACATGGCGTGCTCATCAAATGTATGGATTGATCAGAAAGAAAGAAAGAATAAAGAGGTAGAAAAGACAAATTTCTCTTGGGAATCCTTCTAAGATTCTCAAAATAATTGTCGGTAATAATATTTTGTTTATAGGAAAAAAAAACACAGATTATTTTTGTTAGTTTCTTAGTTCCCTCTGCTTAATTGAACTAAAATATTAAACAATCCTCGACGCATGAGAAAAGAAAGAAAGCCTCTCAAATGTTTAAGCATGAAAAATATTAAAAAGAATGATGCAAATGATCTTTCAACTGTGTAGTTTCTTTATCATTTAATTGTGTACAGCATAATATCATTAAATAAATACAAAAGTATTATAGCCTTATTATTATTATTATTATTATTATTATTATTATTATTATTATTATTTTGATAAAGTTTCTCGATCTTTGCCTCTTATGCTATCAGTAGTACTAATCGGTTATTCATGTTTAATCATAACATCTATAAGTCTTCTTTACGATGAAATATAAAAAGAAATAACTTTTGTATATGGATAAATACTAGCATGCTATAATGCACAGCGAAATTAAATGAAATCACAATCAAATAAAACACCAAGATATATGTGAAAAATCCCTCTAATGTGAAGGGTAAAAATCACGGGGCAAACTAGAGATAATCCACTATAAGAATAATGAATATACAAATCTCAATCTCTTGCCCAAAACCCTAACAATAATCACAAGAGAATAACTGGGATACAATGATCACGTCACTGGCTACAGCCTTCCTTCTCCCTCGTTATCTTTTTCTGCCTCTTTTCGCAGCCACCACATACCCCCTAATTTTGATCTATGGTTAGGTCAAAGGGGGTGAGTTATAGGCTGATAAAGCCCACCTTGGACGGAATATATAGGTTGTCAGCCCAACACTTTAAAAAACATAACATATTTATACAGACATTTTTTTTTCATTTTATTTTGTTATAGAATAACATACAATAATAGCTTAATGTGATCCATCGTAATAGCATATTTTTCTTATGATTGAGTTCATTTTCTTAGGCCTTTAATCAGTTCAAACTGATTACTCAAACCAACCAACGTTCAAATTTTATAAGTGATGCGGATTTAATTTCATAAATCTTTTTTGTGTAGACATAATGGGATCAAAATTTTAATTTGATTCAATTAAACCGATCTATTTGAAAATAATATTTTTAAATTATTTAAAATCATAAATCGATTAATCAGACCGAATCGATCGATTCGAGTTCGAACTATCTTATTTTAATTGAACTGAATTGATCAAATAATTCAATTGGATTTGAACACCCATAGTGCTAAAGCATAAGCGATTTTATGTGTGTGTTTTAATGGAGAGAGCAAGTGAAAATGGGAAGAGAACAAACTCCATATGCATAAGCGATTCACACATACCCAACCCAAAGAAAGACCTCTCGATTAATTCTCGATGCACTCACTCACTCACTGTTGAAGTAATCCTATCTCGGGTTCGTTCTCGTCCATCGTTAGGCTGACTGTTGCGGCAGTGGTGATCTACAAACTGGATGGAGAGCACTCGGAGATGAGAAAAAGGAGGAGGGTGTGACATTGACATGCAAAGCTGCCATTGGTGCTACGGAACGACGATGTAAACAAGCGGTAATGCCCGTCCTTTTCCGCCGTGTTCGATGGCGTCGAGTCTGTCCTACCACTGTTGCTACCTTTACACGAGTAAAGCAGCTCTCATCGATCATAATCTTGGAAGAAGCTCTCATCTACTCATCATATCCACAGACGAGCCGAGATCGATCAGATCGTGATTCTATATTTACGTAAATCTATAGTCGCCGATGTTCTCTTTGACTAGCTTTAATGGCTGTTAGATCTGCGAGTCGGTTCCGATCAATCTCACACGGCCAAAGTAAGAAGAGTTGAGTTCGTAAGCTACCTGGGAATTCGATAGTCAGTCATGATGGAAGGGAAAGAAACGTTGGTCAAAGAGCACAAGTTGGTGGAGGCTGAGGCATCGTCGACCGGGAATCTATATCCGATGAGCGGCCGCCGCGCATCTTTTCGATCGCTGCTACAGCATCTCATATCCGACTTGGATTCGGACGTCATAAGAAAAAATTCAAGTGGAGTCGAAGAAATCTTGGACGTTGATCGAATTTTGACTTATACAAAGATTAAGTTAGATGCCATCTTTTTTATGCTTAATTTCGAGTAAAATAATAACATGTATAGTTGGTTTGATTGAAAAAAATATAATTTTTTTAA